GTACATATAATGCAACGTTTAGAAAAAGAACGCAATGTAGTGACAATTGTTTCCAAAAATCGTAGTTTCTCTGTCATAGATACACTGTTTAAACTACGCTAGTTATAACGTAATATTCACAATGACACTCTAAACGGTGTGGAGTAACAACTTCTTCAGAAAAAAACTTGATTTTTTTTGTGCAAATTGTTTTAGAAGCACTCACATTTTTAAAAACCTATATCATATAAATTGTTTATTGTTGTAGGCTTAATTTACAAAAGGCTATTTATTTAGAAATTAAATAATAATAATAATAATAATAATAATAATAATAATAATAATAATAATAATAATAATTATAATATATTTTTTTTTCACAAGCTTTGAAGACGTAACACAGCCTGAATTCCGCTTTTAAATAATAGGTCACCTATAGATTTCGCCATGAGCCACGGCTGTGTTCAAAATGGCATAAATGTTTTCAAAATGCACTACGAAGGGAACACAATTACTAATATGAAGATTGCTAAAACCGAACTGTAAAAATACTTTGAAAGCAAATTACATTATTATTATTATTATTATTATTATTATTATTATTATTATTATTATTATTATAATTACAGGTTTAAATGCTAGAATGTTCAAAATAAATAGAGCATATAGGGGGAATAACGGGGAAAATAACACAACCAGGACCTATGCTTCTAACAACAGCTCTAGAGGTGTAGTTGCAAGCGTACAAGTTTGCGATGCAGTTTGTGAATGTTTGTTGGAACGACAGATTTTGGAAACAAGAGATGTTCGTAATAACAAAACTTGTGACCTTACTAGCTAACGATGGTTTTCGAAAACGCACTCCAGAGCGAATCTACAGCTAAAGACTCAATGATTCAAATGATTTAGAGTGATTTCACAGTTAACACAGTGTCTCTTGTTAATTCAATTAAATTAAATTCATCTATAGACCTTTTAAAAAGGAAATTGTGTCACAGCAGCTTATCATAGATAAGTTCTAGTAAATTGAAACTGCTTCTGTCCAGTTCTCAGAAACGAAGTTCAGTTTAGCATAAATTAATGTAAGTTAATAACTCAATGTTTCAAATGATCCATTTAGAGATCGTCTTTAGTTCACAGCTAACTAATTCAAACAATCCATTCATTTTTTTTTAAACCATTAGTTTCAATATTTTCAGAAACTTGTTTCAAGAATTATCCAATCATAAAAAACCATACAAAATTGGAAAGCATATTAATTCAGCTTTCAGATGATAAATCTCAATTTTCAAAAACTGGCTCTCATGACTGGTTTTGTGGTCCAGGATCACATTTTAATACCAGACTTAATCGGCTTTTGAGCATTTAGAGAATAATCGGCAGTATTACTAACGACCACCTTTGGGATCTAACAGAGACTGAATCTCACACAACACTGGTGTCACTTCCAGCACATTAACAGTCACCTGACGTCTCTACCGTCTATCGCTCAGTGGTTCTGGATGATGTGACGCAGCATTCAGCTCTCTCCTTTAGGGAAAGAGCATTGCGTAAGTGACTCTCAATACATCAAGGCAGATGTATAATGGATGGCTTTTAGGATCTCCAGAGCCTGACTTTAGGCAAAATTTTGTATTACATGAACGTCCACTGAATGTTATTTGGTCAGTCTGGCTCTAATGGCTAAGCAGAGAAGCAAAGTAACCTCTTTGGGAGTGAAGAAAGAAGTAATTTAAAATAACAACAGCGCTGGCAAAATCAGTTAAGACAGCTTTCCCATTTTTTTAAGCAGGCAAGCAGGTGCATTGGTGATTTCATGCCGGACTGAGCCTGTTCTTGCAGGGCTTGATGGGCTGTTGTGGGAGGGAGACCATGTGTTTACGAGCAAAGCGAGGGAAAAATAGAGAGAGCCAGGGAGACGGAAGATTGTTTACGACTACAAAAAGCACCATCCGAACAAACAGGCAAAATGCGCAATGGTGTGCTGGGAATAAAATTGTCCTCCAATTTTATTTTCAGCACATTATGGAACATTCCGCCATACAGAAAGAGTGTGCGTGTATGTATGTGTGTAGGTGCGTGTGTGTGTTATAGCTTGAAGATGACTCTCATACTCTGTGTAGAATGAAGTCACATGTATATCTCAGGTGTAATTTTTTTTTCACAGGCTTCAAGACTGTAAAAATCTTGATGATTCTGTGAGTTTTGTCTATCAAATCTAATATTTACTTTGTATTTTCTATTGGATTGAAGTCAGGTGATTGGCTGGGCCAATCTACAGCTTTATTTTCTTTCCCTGAAAGCATTTGAGTGTTTCCTTGGCTGTGTTTTGGATCATTGTCTAGCTGAAATGTCCACTCTGGTTTCATCTTCATCATCCTGATAATGTAGACGTTGGACTGAAGCAGCTAAGATTAATTTACAATAATGAAGAGCAAATGTTTGGTGAATAACTTTTGAGAGGTTTTAGTTGCTGTCTGGGCTTTCACTGCCTTTCTACACAACCCTTTCTTCATGTGTTTCATGTTTTTTTCCTGTGTTATTTATTTTATTTTATTTTATTTTTTTACACATAACTTCATTTGCAAATTTGTTTCCTTTTCATACATGTATATCTGTGGTTGTTATCAACATCTGGTGAAAATGTCAAGCCCTTGTAGAAATATCTTTTCTGAGAAAAATGGTGACATGTTGAATACTTATATTTCTCAATGTGTATACATTTATATATATTTTTGTAATTAAATTAATTGGATAATTAATAAAAACTATATTAATGATAGTATCCTGATTTTTCTAAATGTGTGTATATGTGATTCTAAGATTGTTTTATTATATTGTTTTATTACAAGGTAATGTGATTTAAGTATTTCTACCTTGACTGGACATAACTGTCAAGTTGACCAGATGCATTCACTATTTCCCGTGACGTTGAATATTTGTGCCCCTGTTTCCTAGCAACTTCCTGATAATAATAATAATAATAATAATAATAATAATAATAATAATAGTAATAATAATAATGACGACGACAACAACAACAACAACAACAACAACAACAACAACAACAACAACAACAACAACAACAACAACAACAATAATAATAATAATAATAATAACAATATCAAATTAAATGTAAAAATTCATTCTGATAGCAAAAACAACATTACTTCAGACATGTTTTTAAACTTTCAAAAATGATTGTAAGGATTGTTGCCGTTACGTCAATATGGAACTCAAGCCCCGCCTTGAAAAAAAAATATTCCCGGCCTGCTCACAAACACTATAGAAAGAAAAAGACAAACACTTTAGCAGATCCTGGTTGAAGCATGCTCATGCTCTGCTCTGAAGTTTAAGGGAAAGTTAGTGTTACCCAAAGATGAGGCTGTGAAGAGTCAGTGGGTGAAGTTTTTTTTTTTTTTTTTTTGTAAAAATACCTCAGCATTATAGCCCCAGCCTTCTGTTGTGTTCCCGTCAATTTTCTGACGATTGATTCTGCAATTTGCATGCTTACAACAGGCCATTCGTCGACCCTTTGTTAAAGGAAGGATCGGAAAAGACTACTGATGTATATGACTTTGTCAGAGCTTGACTGGAACTTTATAGTACACAGTTCATGGATCAGTTCCTTCCTCCATTTCACAAAATAAATGGTTTAAAATTGTTGCAATAAAATGGTTTTCTCTAGCTTGCAAATTATGTATTTATTACTGTTTTTATTAGTTGCAACCACTCAATGTGGCTTGTATTGTATCTGGTTAACTCTTTATATTATCATATCGCATCTAAAGTTATGCTGAAAATGTGATGCATGCCACTTTATTTATGGATTCAAATGCGTTTGTGAGCTTGCGATTTGTCATTGCTATGGCCACCATCAGCTGTTCCTACACACGTGCATGCTAGTTGAGCTTTAGCCACTGTGTGGATTAATACTGAACGTGTGTCATAGTTTAGAATTGAGCAATATGCTGGTGTTTAACCGCATTGCTGTAATGCACTCCTTTCTTGGGCTCACACATACACTCTGCACTCTGACTACTTCCAAATTGTTGATAAGCCGTGGTGGGCATTTCTCTCTGTCTCACGCTGAACACAGTCGACTAATCACAATAGACTGGGTCATCGGACCAATCAGATTAGCATCGCGCTTAGGAGGGGTTTGGGGACAAATAAATCGCTGAACGAATCATATGGGAATCGTTGGAAAAATAAGGTAAAATTAAATGCATATTATAAGACAATGAAAGTGATTTTTGACCTTGCATGCATATCAGACAGTTGTTGGGGACCCCCAAAACCAAAATATGACCTTTTTTAATGCATAATAGGGGCTCTTTATGTGATATTTTTAATGTCATGTTAATTTTTTTATCATATTATTATTTATATACATTTTAAGTGTGCTGGGTAGCACCAATAGTTGCTGACCCAATCTTAAATATAGCTAATAGGGTTATGAGCTAACTACTTTTTAATTTTGACTTTTTTTTTTGCTTCTGCAAATGGTATTTAGTCACATATTTAATGTCTTAGATTTGTGCAAATGAATCATTGTTTAATGTACTGCATCAATCAATGTTGTATTAACGTTATAATCTAATCATGGAGATTAACAAGCCCTCTAAATTAAATAAGGAGATTCAATCAAACTTTCAGTTCAGCTTTGCCTCAGGCTTTAACACAGTGTCCTAAACAGATGTGACATGTAAACACACAATTAAATATACATAAATTTATTCCTGCTCAGTGCTCATAGATAAAGAAAATTCAGCTTTCTAGTCAGTGAAAAGTCGGGGAACTTAACAATTGGCTAGTAACTACTATACAATTATAGGCTGCAATTAAAAATTTTGTTGTTTCAAGGTACTGACGTCTAAAATCTTAATAGAGCCTTTGTATGTAAAATGAATAAATCAACAGGCAACAAGTTTATAGTACAATTAAATAATTCTGGTAGCTCCACTGATAATTTATAACCCACTTCTTTAAATAGCATTTTATCCCAAGTTGCAACTTACCTGCCGTCCTGTCTGGTGATTGTATACCCATAGGCCGGTTTGTTAATGAAGCTGATATTTACGCCAACCAAAGGAGTTCCATCAGAAGTCACCACTTGTCCCCGGATAACGCAGGCATGACTGTAGGGTTAAAAAAAAAAAAAAGCGAAAACCACAGTTGTGTTATAGCACACAAAAGCATCAGATACTATTTGTAAACACATATAATAAATTAAATGAATCCCAGAGCTCTAAGGAAACCTCAGCGGGGCTTCTTGTCTGAGAAGCAAAAGATAACAGGGGAAAAAAATGGGATAGTGTTTGTGTCATTCCTGCTGTTTGAGAGAACAATGCAGAGGTATGAGTGCTTTCAGTCACAGCAGATATCTGGGCTTGAAACTGCCTCTATTTGATGTTATCTGTCTGCCTCGGGAGCTCTGACTTACTGATCGATATGAAAAAGTCAAACACAGTTTCTTAAAATCCCGAACAAGTGCAAAACAACTTCCCGCTAGACAAGATTTATGACTCACTGCGCTGGAGATTTTTAATCAGGTTTCATGCTGTTCAGATTTAAAATTACGAAAGACAAAAATAAAAAAAATAAAAAAGAGAGAGAAAGAGAGAAAGAAAGAAATATACTTAGGGCATTTTAAATCCACCAATATTTGATTTTTAACTCTTAACTTAACAAAATGAATACTGTTGAATATAGAAATCTAAAAACATGCATTTGTTACTTTATGCAAAAAAAAAAGTTCTAAATGATTAAGTTTTTATCAATTAAATCTGTAATTTTATCACAATTTAAATCTAGAAGTCATTGTTGATATTCCTTTAATATAGAGTTTAAGTCAGATTTATTAGCCCCTCTGAATTATTAGCCCCGTTTATTTTTCCTCTCAATTTCTGTTTAACAAAGAGAAGATTTTTTTCAATACATTTTTAAACATAAAAGTTTTAATAACTCATTTCTAATAACTGATTTATTTTTCTTTGCCATGATGGCAATAAATAATATTTTACTAAATATTTTTCAAGACACTTTTATACAGCTTAAAGTGACAATTAAAGGCTTAACTAGGTTATTCAGGTTAACTAGGTAGGTAAATAGGCAAGTTATTGTATAATGATGGTTTGTTCTGTAGACTAAAAATAGATCTAAAAAATAACCTAAAGGGACTAATATTTGTTTCCTTAAAATGGCGTTTAGAATTATTTTATTCAAAATAAAACAACTAAGACTTTCTCCAGAAGAAAAAAATATTATCAGACATACTGTGAAAATTCCCTTGTTCTGTTAGACATCATTTGGAAAATACAGTATTTAAAAACAGAGAAAAAAAATAAAAATCAAAGGGCGGCTAATAATTCTGACTTCAACTGTATATATACACACACAAACAAACAAGTGAACTTTTATGTTATCAAAGTTAAATCGAAGTAGATGCAAGACACAAAATGCAAATGTTTTGCAACATGCAACAATTTGCGATTTTTTTTTTTTGCGATACACGTGCTATTTGACAACTCATAACATGTTGTAAAAACAATGTAAAATTACCCATAACTAATTATAATTCAATGTCAACACTTTCATTTAGTTAATAATGCGACATTAGCACCCACACTCATTTTTCTGTAAATAAATGCAGTCAACAACACATCGCCTTAACTGGCATCTCTTTGAGCATATAAAGTTCACAAAAAATTCAAGTTCAAGTTTATGAATCTTTGATGCTGACATAAGAAAAATTACATTTTAAAATTACTTTAAATAATTTGAGGGCAGTTTTATATAATGTATATATATATATATATATATATATATATATATATATATATATATATATATATATATATATATATATATATATAATGTATATATATATATATTGCTTGTCACGGCAAGCTTTAATATATATATATATATATATATATATATATATATATTATTGCTAAACTTTTAAAGAAAAATACCAAAACTGATGTTGAACAGGTAAATTTTTCAGCAAAGCCAATAGTAAAAATTATATATTTTTTCTTTTTTAAATCATAAATCTTTTAAGAGTCACGAAACACCAAACACATTTTTGGAGCTGTTGACAGTAGTATGTGTCCCACACTGCTAAAAACACTATTAGGACACGTATATCTCACTAAAAGTTGAAAATTGGTTGTTTTTGCGCTATTTCGAGCAAATTCGTACTTCCAGTTTGAAACTAATTTTTGAAGCTGCGTCACGCCCATGAGATCTTAGCGTGTATTCCAGCGTGTGGACTGGATGTCTGTACCTGGGTATCCCGTATTATATCTCCAAGTGTGTTGCATTCATTCATGAGTAAGGCTTGGTTCAAACCAATCAGCGTGCTCCATTATGTATGCGTTGCAACTTCATTAGATGCATTCTAGCTTTCTTAGACTGTACCTGAAACAGTGTTCAGATGGCAGAGAGACAACACATGTCATGTTGCCAAAAGTTGTGGCAAAAAAATAAGAATTGTTTGGAGATACGGGTCGTCAGTCTTTCTTTCATAATGTGAAGGTTGTTTCATTTTCTTGGTCACGCTTTACAATAAGGTTCATTAGGTAATGTTAAGTAATGCATTTACTAACATGAACAAACAATGAACAATACATTTACTAAAGTATTTATTCATGTTAATAAACATTAGTAAATGAAAATACTGTTGTTCATTGTTAGTTCATGTTAACTTATGGTGCATTAACTAATGTTAACAAGCATGGACTTGAATGTTAATAATGCATTAGTAAATGTTCAATTATGATTAATAAATGCTGTACAAGTGTTGCTCATGATTAGTTCATGTTAGTAAATGCATTAACTAATGAACCTTATTGTTAAGTGTTACCATTTTCTCTCTATGAGAGCGCTGCTGGACTTACGTGTGGATCAGTGCTTGCGATGCGCGGCTGAAATGCATTTGTTTGGAACCTTTTTTACTCAAGAGCATTTCTATTCAATGGTGAGATCTGGATTTGCTGCTTGTCTCCTTTAAAAAAAGACGCAGCTCCAGTATGTGCTCCAGATGGCAAAGTAATTTGTATGGTCAGCAGTACTCTTTCAGTGTTGAAGGACAGACCTTAGTCAAAATGATTTTTAAGTTACTTACTTTACAGTACATTAATATCACTAAAATATTGAAAGATCCGCCGTAAATGCTGCTCTTTGTGTGTAAACACGTGAACACTGTAAGCAAACTTTTGCCAGCCGTAGTGTTGAATTTTCGCTGCATTTTGTGACAGGATAGTCTACACACACGACTTTCTGACCTACTGAGTGCATCTGAATGCAGAGGCTTTTTTCTCTTATACAACGTGCGGTATCAAACATTTCACTGTCATTAAACACACTAGGCTCTATTTTGACGGTCCATGCGCAGATCGCAAAACGCAGGGTGCAAACGCTTTCAGGGCGTGTCAGGACGCGTTTATGCTAATTTAAGGACGGGAAATCTGCCTTGCGCCAAGGCGCATGGTCTAAAAGTGTTGAGTTTATTTTCTTAATGAGTTATAGGTGTGTTTTGAGAATAAACCAATTATAGTCTCATCTCCCATTCCCTTTTAAGACCCAGCTGCGTCGCGCCTAGAGCGCATTCGCTATTTACAGGACGCAATGTCAGTCTGCCACAGTCTGGTCAGTGGAAAAAATTAGCATTTCACAAGCAAACAGTTAACAGTTGACAGTTTTTTTAACAGAAAACTGTTAAACAGAGCATCTACTGCGTGAGAATGAGAGATAAATGATCTACTTTCACTTTTGCTCTTGGATAGGGAAACTTTTACACAGACATCAATTAGGCTATAAATAATTAATTTTGTTTGTTAAGCACAAAGATTTGTTTCAAAACTATTTCTAAATTCAGTTCTAATTTCTAGCAAAAGAATAAATGAATAATAATGACCAAGTGTGGTCAAAATACTGAGTTATTTCCAAATACACCTGCCATGCCCCACATGGTCTTAAACCTGACAGGTGGACAAATCTAAGCTTGTTTTTAATAAAACAAATATAAATATGGATATATTAAATAATACTGCTAATAATAATGTTATACAAAAGCAAATTGTTATGAATGAACTGAAAAAGCCTCCCGAGATGAAGAAGACATAAAAGCAGTGATTTTTCATATTTATGTAGGCTAGAAAATAATATGTTTTGTAATATTTTAATCCTTTATATTTTTATCCTATATCTATTCTTATTATATATATATATATATATATATATATATATATATATATATATATATATATATATATATATATATATATATATATATATATATATATATCCTTACGATTAAATTTTTTTTTTTTATGTAAAGATATTTGCCTATTGCTCTCTTGTGCGTATTAAGCAGTGCGTAAGTAAGGCGCAACTCTGCGCCGGAGTTTAGACCGGGTTAGTTTTGGTCTAATGAAAAATCTATTATAGTTTCTCAAAATAGCGACGCGCCAGCGGTCTGCCTCAGAACGCCTTCCTTTTAGACCAAAACGCCTATGGGCGCAAAAATGAGCGTTAATGCATTTGCTATTTAAACAGCGTAGCGCAACGCCTCAAAACGACTCTTGCTCCAAGCTGAAACTACCAAAAGACTATTGCGCCGTGTCTTGCGCAACACTGCGCCGGGTGTATGATAGGGCCCACTGTTTTTTTCCCCTGCGTGTGTGTTTGTTATTCCTCGGTCCGCAGCGCGTGTCCAAATAGCAACTCCTATTTTTATTTAAATCCTGCCCATTTTCCCTCCCCCAGCACCACCACCCAAACAGAGCTAGACACACCCACTTTCCTGACTTTTCCAAACTAGAGGTGTAAAAACATCCTGCTGAAACGGGGGGTTTCATGGCCCTTTAAGATATTAATAAAAAGTCATGTTCTATGAATATATTTTGTAAATGTCATGCTGTACAATATATCAAATAGTTTTTGGATTTATAATATGCTTTGCTAAGCCCTTCGTTTACACAATTTAATTTATTTTAACCATGGGATGTAAGTTTTTTTAAAAGCTGTATCTTATCAAAATATTGTCCTATCCTATTAAACCACAATTGTTTGTCAGCTTTCAGGTGATATATCTGTTTTAGTGGTCTAGGGTCATACATTTATCTTCACA